TACCTTATTTTTGTTACTTTGATATGGTTATTTGTGTTAGTAAACATTTAATAAGGTATATTGGTTACTGAGATTTTGATCTCACCTGTGGTTATTTACATTTTTTTTAGGTTCTGATAGTAGTGGTGTAAAGGAAAAGGAAACGGAATGAGTGCAGACTTTTTTGAAAAGCCTATTGTAAGATGGTGTAATGAATTTTATATGATGATAGTTGGATATTTATATATAAGTTGCCATAGGAAGCAATATGTGTGCATAAACTTGTGAAATGTGTGGAATTTTAAGTTCTAGCCTAATTGACCTAGTATGTGTGTGATGAGATTTGATATCATGGGCTTGAATTTTTGGTTATGATTATGTGGGAAGGATGAATGTATGATGTTTATGGAAGTTTGGCCACTCATATACTTGAAACAAGAGAAATTGCTATTATGCCTAAATTTGTGTGAAATGGGCAGTCTATAGGCCAAATGTGTGTATGTGTGTTATATTGCATATGTATTTGCTCAACCAGGTGTAAGCTATCTATTTGGATGTGGTCATGGTCCTAGAAGTGGCTAATGACTTATGATTTCAAATGGGGATGCCTAAGTGGTAAATTTTGATATAAATGGTCAAAATACACTTAACCATCCAACTTTTAAATGGGATATTAGATTTGGATGAAACCAGAGTCATTGTTTAGATTGTAGAATAAGCTTCATATGGGCACTTGAATCACCCCAATCGGACATCGGATGTGATAACGGCGCACATCTAAAGTTTGTATCAGATTTTGCAAGTTGACAACAAATTCTAATATGTGCACCATAGCACATGAGTCAACATGTGACAGCATGCCACGGCGTATGGCATAGAGCATAGAAGCTGTGACTTTATGCCACATGTCGCGGTGCACAGCTAAAAAATTGTGAAGATTTTAATGTTTAGAGTTGTTTTCCTTTGAGATTCACTTATTCTCTATTGTTTGCTTTCGTTGTGTGCTATTATTATGATTTAAATATGTGTTGGGATCCTAATCTTTCAAAGATGTTTTATGTTGATTAGTAGATTGAGTGAAAGATTGTATAGTAATATCATTAAGGGAATTACATAATAGATGTGATTTAATATGCCAATTAGGTGTATGTGGTCTTTTTAGACTTCGTTCAAGGCTTAAAGTAGTTTAATAGGACAAGGGATGAGAATTGAACACTTAGGATGCCAAATTTTGAAATAAAAGTAGTTTTTTACACCCCCAGTATCCAATTTAAGATTGGATCATTGGATCATGTCTAGACTTGTTTCATTAGATAGATTATGTTGTAAGCTTCATGTGAGCGCTTAAATCACTCTAATCAGATATTGAACGTCGAAATGGCACGCGGTCGAAATTCATATAAAAAATCTACCATGATAGCAAAATCTAATACATGCGCTGTGGCACATGGTGTTTGAGTCACGGCATATGACACAGAACCAGAGCATGCAGCTCTGTATCACATGCCGTAGTGCATGTGGAATGAGCTATGGCGCACGGCCTATCTTTTCTAGAAGAATTATTTGTTTGTTTTTCTTAAAGTGAATTTGGTTAGGATTATGCTTTCGTTAGACCTTTTATTAAACATATTTTCTACAAAGTTGGAATCCTACATTTTGAAAACAAATTAAGGGCTGTATATTTGATATTGTATTGCAATGTGTATATGGATTGGTAAAGTCTGGACGAAATTGGGGAGTTTACATAGGTAATGAAAGAAGGCACCACATAAGCGAGGGACTAAGGTGTCCTTCTAATGATCTCTTACTTTTTCTCGTATAAGGTACAAATGCATATTTGCCAACATTAGGATGTTCATAAGGTCTAGTAACATTGATTTGCATACCTCAGTATTGTATTAGGGTTAAATGGACTACCAAGCAGAGGTTGAGTTTTGGTATCCCTAATTGTAATGAAATTGACCTATTGTTATGGATTCTACTATGGTAAGATAAGTCAAGGATACTAAGAAGTTAAATTTTTTTTTTTTTTGTGGGGGACACTTGTATATTAAGTAGGGTTCAATTGTCCTCATTAGCGTAGATTGTTTGAGGATTCTCTTTAGTACCGGGATGGATTGTAGATAGTGCTAATAATTAAATAATTTAACCATATGCATGTGGAAGCTTGGATTACCGAAAGTGGGGGTTCGATGGTTGATAATGCAAGATTAGGGGGAATGTTTCTCGTTGCCGTCTATGCTGTAAATATGGGTTCGCCACAATGAATATTGAAGGTGGTTGTGGTGAATTAGTCATTGGTTGGCCACGGTGAACAAGTCGTTAGCTATGGAGAGTATGTCTGTTTGCCATTGGCCATGGTGAAGTTTACTTCTGGCGTTGGCAAGTGATGGTAGTTTTTCAAAATGATTGTTTTGTCCTTTCCGTTCTCTTTTTAATGCAAAATCTTGTTTCCATATTTTTCCATAATTCTTAAACACTCTGAATTGTTGGAAGCCAATAAATTCTCTTTTGAATAATTTTGGGTATCCCAACTTAAATTTGATCTATATTTTTTTATACTTATTATTAAGCTTGGATGCTAGGATTGTTCTTGTCATTTTAAAGTTATCAATTAGTGGAGTTAATTGGGGGTTAATGACAGAGGTCATTTCAATTATCTATATTACTTCTTATAATTTTCTTAAATCAGTGCCGTGCAACGCATGGGATTCAATTTAGTTTCATTTAAGATGATGATATTTTGCTAAAAAAGTATTAGAAGAAAATATAAATTCATTTATTATTTTCAAATATGAGAGTAGATACATTTAAGCATGTATTTGATTATTGTCAAGAATTTATTTCCATTGTAGTTAGCCAAACCACCCTCATTGATATTTTGGAGTTGGCTTCCCTCCTTACCAATCACTCCTACCCTCCTCCCAGTTTCTCCACCTTTTGATCTTAATTTCATTGGTTAAGATTTAATATATTATAAAATTATTATTATATTAAATAATAAATTAATTAATAAATGTAAGCAGTTAATTAAATTTATAATATATAATTTATTATTCATCTTATAAATAAATTTGATATTTTGTATTATAATAATAATCTTATAATACACTAGATCCCAACCACTGAATAATTGAGATAGAAGGGTGGAGAAGCTAGGAGGAAAGTAAGATGAGAGATTTGTAGGAGGAGAGAAGCCGATCCCTTAATTTTTACATCTCAATTGTTTTCATTTTTGATTGTCATCTATTTGCCTATTTAATGATTTACAAATTTAGAATAAAGGAGCTCTTTGAATTATGAGATTGAATAATGTATCTATATACTATGCTCCTTCAAATAAGTATATTTATTAATATATTAATTTTAACTTTGTTATTAACTATTCAAAAAAAAAAGGTTTGTGTCTGCCCAATAATGTATTTTTTCAGTCAACCCCCTCTATAAAGTTTTAGTTCCCATCAAATGAAAAAATTGAAATTTTTCAAAATTAATCCACCCAACTTTAAATGTGGCCCCTATCAAGCATGATTTGATCAAAGATGCTCCCACCCTCCGATTTAAAATTTAAGACATTCTCAACTGATACAATTATATTGAATATATTCTAGTTATAGATTATAAGCCATTCTTTATATTTTTTGGACATGTTCAATATTATTACTTACACTGAAATTTTCATGATGTTTTCTATATTATTTCTTTCAATTTCCTTTTATCAAACATTTGCAATGCTTGGGATCCATTCTAATTATGTTGAAAGACATGTGGGTGCAAATTTTGAAAATAAATTCGAGTGGAGCTAGTCACATGCATTTGTTGGAATCCAAAGATGAGTCACAGTCATCAAATATATTTGAAATAATATATATATATATATATATATAGCATTGGATTGGATTGAGAAAAGCCGAAGGACCCAGCTTTTTTATCTTTGTTGGATCTATAATTGATGATTGATTACTTGATTCTCACTCTGTTTTAAATTATAAAATATTTTTTAAAAAGATTTGGTATCATAAAATATGAGATATTTTAATAAAAATAAAATTTTATTAATGATGATTTTTTAATATTACACATCCAATTATATATTATATGTTTAAAAGTATTTTATAAATGAAGTATTATGTAAAAATATATTTTTAAAAGTTTATATTTTTGTTTTTAAAAAACTAAAGTTGTAACGTATATTTAATGATCTTTATTGATATTTGTAATTGTCTAAAATATCTTATAAATTGGGAATGAAGGAGTATATTATTTAAACACATTTCCTGTTTAACTAATTAATTAATGTTATATTAAAATTTAGATAAATTGTAATTGTAAAATAAAAGGATACTATATAAACATGTCGAAAAGGACTAAATTCGGATTTTTTTTTTACTACCAAGTTTTCTAATTTAAAATAAACAATATGTAATTTACCAATAAAAATACAATAACATGATAATGATAGCTAGTAAAGAGAGAACAAAGTCAAGATTTACATGTCAAATTAAAATGTTATGACTTAAGTGGAAGAGAGTGCCGAAAAAGGATTTAAATTCATTGATTGACCTTAGTGCATTCACTTTATGAGTATCAGATCAATTGTAGCCATTAAATTTTATCAATACTTAAAAATTACCAAGATATATATTTTCCTTCAAAAGTAAATTAAAATAATTCTTATGATCAAAATAATTTTCACGTACGTTGTCCCTCCAAAACTTTGAGATAAAACTTTATAACTATGATATGACAAAATTTATGACAATCATTCAATTAAATCAAATGATATTATTGTGGCACATGATATACTTATTGAATGAGTTGATTTAGTCACTTACCGAATCCAAATGTCAAAAGAAGAGGAAAAAAGATGAGAAGTAGGAGTTATTCAAAAAGAACTTTTAGCATACAACTATATGATAAAAATAAGAGAAAAATAAAAAAAAACAAAGAAAAAGACCTATCATATTATTCAAAGTGCACTTTCAAAATACAAACAACAAGATAAAATAATAAGTGAAAAAAACACACACACAAGACACAACATCTTATTATTCAAAACGTACATTTGGAATACAACATGATAAAATAAGAGCGAAAACACACACAAAAAGAACAGTTTGTATCCAGGTTTTCCGAGGTAAGCTATCACATATATCCATAAAGTACATGACTAGATCTTCGCCCTCTAGTTCTCTAAAGGATGGTTTTCCATTGAAATCAGACCCTCTAGCTCCTTTGCTACTTCTTTCATGCTCGGCCTTTCCTTGCCTTTTACTTTTATGCATCTCCTTGCCAACAAGGCCACTTCTTTCAGTTCCTTTTCATTCTTTTGGTCTAGTACTCTTTTATCAAGAATTTCCCACAAACGGTCTTCTTTCATTGAAGACACAAAGTGCATGGCTAAGTTTTCCTGCTCTGGCTTGCTAAATTCAATTGCTTTTTTTCCAGTAAGTAGCTCAATAAGAACAACTCCAAAGCTATAAACATCACTCTTCTCATTCAGTTGACCTATGAAAAGGTATTCTGGATCCAAGTATCCAAGAGTACCTTGCACCACAGTGGTAATATGAGTTTCATCAAGAGGAACAAGTTTTGAAGCTCCAAAGTCAGACACTTTTGCTCTAAGATTATGATCTAAAAGTATGTTGGTAGATTTAATATCTCGATGAATGATTGGAATGGAAGCAGAAGAGTGTAGATATGAAACAGCCTCAGCAGTTTCTGCTGCTACCTGTAATCGAGTTTCCCATGAAATAGAAAACCCATTCTTCAAAGGATTTATGTGGTCAAGAAGGGTTCCATTATCTACAAACTCATAAACCAACAAAGGAATTTCAGTTTCAAGACAACATCCTAAAAGTTTGACTATATTTCTATGGTTGACTTGAGAAAGCACAGCTATTTCATTAATGAAATCTTTAATTTGTTTAGGATCCCCTCCTATTCTAGACTTCTTAATAGCCAAAAGGGTCTTGTCAGGCAATACACCCTTGTAAACTACACCTTGCCCTCCACGACCAAGAATTTTACCTTCATCAAAGTTGTTTGTGGCACTCTTAAGCTCAGCTTCGGTAAATATTTTGGTTCTTTCTTGGTGACCTTGTTGCTGCAAAAACTGTTGTAGTATAATTCCTCCATTTTGTTCAAAATATTTTCTTCGCACTTTTTTAATTGCTCTTTTCTTGTGCACCCAACAAAATGCAGAGACTAACATGAAAACAAACAGCAAACCTATAGTAATACCTGCAAACAGTGTTGTTGAAAATATATGTTATGATGATTAATAAATAAATTACCTTTAAATGGAGGAAAAAGGCACTCAAAGTAACCAGAAAGACACAGCTGAAACAAATTGTGATAATATTTTCTTATTGCATAAATCGGTATAATTTGTGGGACGATGGACGGACTTATAGTTCCAAGCCCTCAAGCTCAACCTTTAAACAAGGCATTTATTAGAATGGCCTCATGTAAAATGCCTAATGCAAAGGGAAGACGAAGTTTAACTCATAACTTATATTAATGATAAAATAGATTTAAAAAATTAAGGGAACATTACCAAAATTCTACTTAAATACATGCTTCATAGACTTATCATAATAATATATAAAAATTGCAAAAATTATATGCTCTGTAAAATTACATATATAAATTCTACTTATATATATGCTCTGTAAATTTATATTTTAATCTTTGTATGTTACAAAGGATCTTTCAGTAAGAATATAAGTTGGTTTTTAATTATTTGTACAAAAAAAAAGTAGGTTACTAATTGTACATGTTAAGGTTATTCTCATAATAATAGATAATATGCAGCAAATAGTTGTAATTCAAATGTCAACCTTTGACTATGTAACAATCTAGTCAAGGATCTATTAGCTGGGGTACATTATATAGAATATCATGAAAATGGCATGGCGCCGCTCACAAAGAATATGGGTCAATTATTAGAATATATATATTATAAGTGCCGATTTATGAGGCACTAATGGTATTGTACTTGTTTAACGGATGAGATCTTTAATAATTGACCGATTATGGCAAATAAAAATTGTTGTAATAGTAGATGGACACAATAAGTTTGGAACATTAAGGCATTGATTTTGGTACCTAATGATATTTCAACAATAGGGAGTTTGCAGCCTGATCCACGAATGCGTCCGTCGCCTTTATATCCCGGTGGACAAGAACAAGTGCAGTTACCATCGTTATTGTGGCATCTCATACTGCAAGGATTCTGCGTCTTGCATTCATCAATATCTGAAATTACACAGCACAACCATTAATCCCACACTACAAAAAAACAACAGATTAGCGACGGTATAAATTTTCATCGCTAATCCATCGCTAATTCCATCACTAATTTAGCGATAGAATTTAGCGATGGAATGTTCTGTCGCTAAAATTTTATCATGATTCTGTCACTAATCTGTCGGAAATAATTTACTGATAGAAAATTCCATCGCTAATGATTAGGATGTTTTATTTCAATTTAGTGACGGAATTTGCGACAGAAAATTCCGTCACAAGGCTTTCTGTTATAATTCTGTCACAAATTATTTTTAATTTAATTTTATTATTTATAATATATATTTATATATAATTTATTATTATGCTATAAATAAATAATTTAAAAATTATAATTTAAAATAATTTATTATTTTAAATTATTTGTATATTATTAATAGTAATTTAAATTGTATATTTAATTATTCTTATTTAAAAATAAAAATAAAATATAATAATTAAAAAATAAAAATTTAAAATATTATATATTATATAGATACAAATTATAATATAATATATAATGATAATAAAATATTTTTAATTTAATATTAAATTTATTGTCAAAAATAATTTTTTAAAATAAAATATGTAGAAATAATTATTATATATAAATTAATTTTGCCATATTAATAAATATAATGTTAAAAAATAAATAAATTTAAATACTATATTTAATAATAATTTAAATAATATATTTATTAATATATGTGTGTGTGGTTAAGTATTATATATTTAATTTATTAATTAAGACTGAAGATTCCTTTCAGTTCAACTGGCAACAAGGTGGACACAAAGCCATTAAGGAGTATGAGATTGCAAGTTCAAACCTAGTCAAAGCACAATTGAAGGTAATAATATTGATATGACTAGGTAGGGGTGAGGTAGCATTAGTCCACCAAGTGACGTGGCAATGATATTTTGGGCCACCTAATAAATTAGCAACGAAATAAGCCCATTGAAAAATTAGCGACGGATTAGCGACAGAATATATTCCGTCGCAAAGTCAGAATAGCTTATTCTTATTTAATGATGAAAAATTTTCATTGCTATTCCATCGCTAATTCTGTCACTAATTAGCAACGAAATTGCAAATTCTATCACTAAGAATTAGTGACAGTGTTTTTACCAATGACAATATTCCGTTACTAATTTCGTGTCCCTTCCTCTAATATCATTTGTAATGTATAACCTTTTTAATTTCATTTTTCTTTTTTTTTTGGATCATTGCTTCTACATAAAAAACATGCATTTTGATGTCTCAAAGTCTTAAAATGGTTTTTTTTTTTCATTTTTTATAATTTTTCAAAGAAAATTACCATAAAATTTTGTAATGTTGATATATTTCCTCAAAACATTGTGAAAAAAAACAAAACAAAACTCTACCATTTCAAAATTTCAAGGTATTAAGATATGTTTCTTATTTTATATAGAAACTAATTATTTAAAAAAATGAAAAACAAAGTTAGAAAGATTGGATATTATAAAAGGCATTAAAAAAAAGCATATTAGAAACCCTTAACTCAATAAAACTTGCATGCATGCATATAGGTTAGGGATATTTAATGTCCCTTACTCTACAACCTTACCTTCCCAACTTTATTTATTTCTTTTTTTAAAGATAATTAGCTTATACCTAAAATAAAAAAAATTAATATCTTAAAGTTTTGAATACTTCCTCCATTAAAAAATGTAAGATATTTTTTGAGAAGTTAGATGTTTAAAAATATAAGGTATTTTTAATCTTTCGACATGTAATTATTGTCTTTTTTTAAAAGTATCATTATTAATGAATGACTTTATATTTATTGTGGGTTGTTTAATAGGAATAGATATAAAAAATAGAGTTAATTTAAAAATAAATTATTATTTTATTAAAAGTGAAATTTAGGTAAAAATATCATGTACTCCATCCGGTTCTATTTATAAATCATTTCTACCAACCTCATCAATACTAATATAACAAAAATATAAAGAATAAAATTTTATAAAATTACAAACATAACCCTTAAAAAGTAAATATATTATATAATATTATTTTTTTGTTTCTCTCTTTCTTACTTTTTAAGAGTAGTGTAGATATTTTATTTAAAATAAAATATTACTATCAATTTAATAATTTATAAAATGAATATTTTTTTTTAAATGATTTATAAAGTAAATTGGAGGGAATAGTTTTTAGTGGTGGGAGCACTATCTTTCAAAGATAAAAGGTATTTACATGAAGTAATTAATTACCTCGGCAGCTGTGTGGATGAGGGTGAGAGAGGTAGGGGTTGCCTTGGAAGCCATCATTACATTTGCAGAGATAGCCGATTCCACTTTCTGAGTCATGGCAATGACTGTTAGTGCCACATGCATAGCTACTCGTATTCGTTTTGGCTCTGGCACATTTCTCAGTGCCAATAGCCCAATTGAAAACCACAGGAAAGCTTTTTTCATCATCACTCCAAGGACCAAGATCTCGAGCGGAAAAGTTGAAGGATCCGTCCTCCGCCAAAAATGCGTAGCTGCAAGGATTAAATGCTCGCACATCTTCAATATTGTCACCCTCAGTGAGCTTAATACTGATAGTGTAATTCTGAAGCGCTTTGGGGAAAGTGATCTGGCAACAGCCTACACCTGAACAGGATCCGTTCGTCACGTATTTCACGCTCTGACATCTGGACAGGCACCCAGCTTCATACCTAAAAGAAGTTTAAAAAAACAAAACAAAACAAAACGAAGGAAAGGAAAGGAAAAGAAACTTGAAAAGGTGTGGTGCATTATTGATCCATAAGGCTTACAGTATATAATATATCTTAACAAAATAAATTTTAATAGATAATATATCGCATCAATACCCATTTTCCACGGTATCTTTGATGGAAGCCATGGTGCGACACCCCACTACAGTGAATTTGTTCTTTCTATTGGATATAAGAAAAGGAGTATTCGGTTCATCTAATAATAGAGGCGCCCTCAGGTATCCTTCTTTATGCTCACATTTACGAGTAGCTTTAAGAGAGAGGCGTATCTCACCATGGCCAGCATCCAGGGAGATGTTGGACGTCAATTGGTAAAAGCCTGCTAAATAGGGAATGTGAATTTCAGGGGAAGAAGAGTTGCAGGTAACGAGGAATTTTGGATTCATAAAGCAGCCATCCCTGGTGCCGAAGGGATAGGGGAAGCTCACGTTCCCGCACATGTGATCGCAACTCTCTTCCCGTGCTGCTATATTCCCTGCTCCTGCAACCAGGATGCACAGTACCAAGGCCAGTATCATCTTCTAGTTTTGTGCATTCATTTTGATTCACTGCAAACCTAATTTATAGACAGTCTCCATTCCTGTTCATTTTAGTGAGAACACTCTGTCATAGTTCCTCATGTTAATGTTTTTCCAAAACTTTATCCTTCTTTAGATGTACGTGGAATAGACCATTTTAATGAAAATAGATAAATATAATTTTAACATATTTTTAAGTGCTTTTCAGAAAGAAAAAAAAAAAACTTGCTATTCACACAATGACTTGTACACTTTGTTTTTTTTTTTTTTGGGACCTGAATGACTTGCATACTGAAACATTAAACTTTTCAAAATACATGTCATGTTGTTGAAAAGAAAGCACTTGAGCTCTCTCATCCTTTTTGTAAGGTGAAAAATAGAAACGAAAATAGATCAAACTCAATTATACTTCTTTTAATTTTATTTATAAATTATTTTTTATTAATTTTATTAATATCAATGCAATAAATATATAAGAAATAAAAATAAGTTAAATTTTAAATATAACCCTTAAATAAAAAATAAAAAATAAAAAATAATATAATATTATTTTTATGTCTTGCTCTCTCTTACTTTTTAAAGGTAGTTTGAAGATTTTAATTTAAAATAAAATAATTTTATTAACTAATAACTTATAAAATAGATTAAATTATACTTTTAAAATGTGAATAATACACAAGAACAAAAGGGTACTTTAAATGAATAAGTTTGAGCTTATTATGTGGAAGATAAGAGACCTAAAATTAAAGCCTATATAATTTTTTTTTTCCACGGTTCACTTACCTACGACATGGTCTAACCTGGCTTCGAAGCTCATTTAAAAAACCTACGTAAAATTTGGCCTTTTGAATAGGCCTATACACAATGAGCATTAAAGTTTTAAATAAACTTTTGGCCTATTAAAGCATACATAGCCACAACTTGGTTCGACAATTGTATGCATTACACACACATAAAGATTACAGAATAATAACATATATATGTAAATATGCCGCCCTATTGGTAAATAGGATAAGTCAAGCTTTAATCCCTGATAGGCTACATAGCCTAATTCTTCCACTTCTATCGAAGAGAGAATTAATTTTTTTTATTTTATTTATAAACTATATCTTTAGTTTCTTTATCTTAATTTCCTTTTTACTTTTCATTGTGCTAGTGAGAGAACGCAAGTTATTAATATGTATATTAAATAGAGGTAAAATTGAAGACTTATTAAATTTTTAATAGAAATTAATAAGTTTTAATGTTTTCTTAAATTCATATAATGTATGATAAAAGTAATTTATAAATAATATCAAATAAAATATGAGAGCATAACACAACTTCTTTGTTTTTTAGGGTTTAGTACGTACAGCCTGTATTAACATCATAGTTGAAATTGATAATTTAAATGAGTCAGGCTTATTTAAGCGGGATTCAATTTGGACTAACTTATTTAAATTGAGCTTAAAATATTTAAAAATATAAAAAAATTTATATAGCCAAGCTTGATACTAAGATCTTGGGCATTCGGGCTTATTCAAGCTAGCTCGAATACTTTAATTGTTAAATATTATTTTATTTTATTTTTCTTTTTCTAGTTAATTTTAATTTTTATCTTAAAAATTCATATTTTCAATTTTTATATTGATTTAATTTAATTTTACTAACAATAACAAAAAAAAATTAGGTATTTAGGTTAAGCCCTTTTAAGTTCGAGTTTGACCTAAATTTCTTCAGTTTTATTTAAGTAACCTGAGTAAGCTCGAGATAAAGAAAATATTCTAAATTTCTAAGTCTGATTTTAAGATTTTTGAGCTTACTTTAACTGGATTTAATCCAAACTATTGCCTCTAATTATAGTGATGTAGGATAAGGACGTCAAGGATTGAACCTTTTAAATTCACAAAATAACAAGTTTCTAAACAAGTCAGCATCGGCGCGCTGGCAACACGGGCTATGCTTTTTAATTTATTGTATCATTATTGAGGAAAAGAAACATTTTCTCACTTTTATTTCGTTTCTTAGTTTCTTTTTAATTTGTACCAAATGGGGACACTAAAATTCTTTTTTTTAAAACCAAATCTTTGAGATTATGCATTTTAAAGTATCATTTATATATATATATATATAAAATGGAGAATGACATTTTAATCCCAAAAGATTAATTTAATGTCAGTAAAGTCTCAAGAAGTTAGGAAATGTTGACAAAGTCCCGCGGTACAAAAAAGAAAAAGATGAAATCACCCTCTCTCTGTATTGTAACGGGTGATGTAACGGTTGAAAAATTATTTCTCCATGTTTATCAATCAACCTCAAAACCCTATCTCCTTTTCTCTCTTTCCCCACAACAAAATCCAAAATTCTAGCATCTAATCTTTAAACAAAATTCTTAAAACAAATAAAAATGAACAAAATTTATGACATAAATTTTTATCAATTATAATGATTACATTTTATTTAAAAAATATTTCACTCGATATAACTTATACTCCCTTCATTAAAAAATATAAGACATTTTTAACTAAATTTCAACTCTTAATAAAGTAGTTATCTATTTTCAAACTAACCTTATTATTTTATATTTACCCCTATTAAATATCCTATAATAAATATAAAGTCATTCATCAATAGGGTTACTTTTGAAAAAAAGCAATAATTATACTTTGAAGAACTAAAAATGCCTTATATTTTTAAACATTTAACTGTTTAAAAAATGTTTTATATTTTTAAACGGAAAGAGTAAGTTTTAAGATACTATAACAAATAAACTACTAATAACTTTGCACCGAAATTTTCATTCAAATTACTAATAAATGTATTATATTAAAATTATTATGTTAAATTGATAGTATAATATTAACAATTTAAAATTGTTGTAATTTAATATATTTTGATTTTATAATTATATATTTCATTTTTTATATAGAAATAATCACTAATACATGTTTTATATTAAAATTCGTAGGTTAAATTACATTTTTTTAAAATGACAAATTACTTGCAGCAGTAGTTGGATTTCGGTAAAATCTATTTTAATTTGTTATATTATATTAAAATGCATTCCTTTCATACCACAATATAAGCCATTATTAATTAATTTATGCTTTAGAAAATTTTTTTAAAATACTGAATTTCTAAAAATTCACATATTTACATTTATACCCTTGAGTGTAATAAATATCACATTTGATTTGTTCAAAACATCTTCATTAAATACTCAATAAAGTAAGAATGTACTCCCTCAATTAAAATGTAAAATATTTTAAATTGAATCTCACCCCTTAATAAAATAATTATTTATTTTTAAATTAATATCATCTTTTTATATTTACCCTTATTTAATAAAAACTTTTTTACCAAAATTTAATACTGTGTTTTACTTTGAAATAAATATAAAGCAATGTATTTATTAAGAGTATTTTTGAAAAATATACAATAATTACACTTTCAAACATTAAAAATGTATTATATTATTTATCATCTAACTCTTTAAAAATACTTTATATTTTTAATGAAAAAAATATTGAAATATATATATATATATATATATATGCATAACTTCTACCAATTGCGTTATATTTTGAATTAAATAAAATTTTTAAAAAATAATTTACATGGTGGTCCAATATAAGTTTTTTCTTGAAAAAAATAAAAACGTCAGTCATTATAGTTGATAAAAAATTTTGGTCATAAATTTTTTAATTTTTAATTTTTTTAAGAATTTTGTTTAGAGATTAGAAGCTAGAATTTTGGACTTTGTAGGGGCAGGAGCGAGAGGGAGATAGAGTTTTGAGGATCATCATTAAACGTAGAGAAATGATTTTTCAAAGTCACATCACTTGCTACTTTACAGAGAGAGGAGGGATGATTTCGTCTTTTCCTTTGGATCAATATACTTTGAGACTTTATCAACATTTCCCAATTTATTGGGACTCTATTAGCATTAAATTAGTCTTTTGGGATTAAAACGTCACTCCTTTATATAAAAAGAGATATCATGGTTTATAAAGTAACCCACCGCTTCAATAATTGATCTCATCAATAAATACTTTAGATAAATAAATGTTGTTATTTCTTATAAATAGGATGATGAAAACTTCTGAAAACTTCTCAAAAAAGCTCAAAGGAGTAACAAAACACACACACACACGCGCGTCGTCATCTAAACGTTACTGTAATGGGGAGAGTTATTGTTAAATAAATGACGGTTATCGTACTTTGTTATATATTTTTTTCAAAACGAGGGTTGTTATTTATATCATCCCCTACAATAACTACTCAAAATAATTCCAGTAGATAAGCATCCCAACATTTACAGATATGAATATCAATAAAATTGTACTACAAAAAGAATCAAAATCTCATCTCTTATTCTAAACTCTTATTCCAACATTTATATATATATATATATATATGAATATTATTTTATTTTATTTTTCTTTTTCCAGCTAATTTTAATATTTATCTTAAAAAATTCATATTTTAAATTTTTATATTAATTTAATTTAATTTTACTAATAATAATAAAAAGAATCCAAGCATTTAAGCTAAGCCTATTTAAGTTTAAGTTTGACCTAAATTTTTTTGAATTTATTCGAGTGACCCAAATAAATTCAGGGTAAAAAAATATCTTAAACTTTTAAATTTAATCTTAAAATTTTTTAAACTTATTCTAATTCATTTATCACTTAACTTAAATTATTATCTCTAATCAAAGTGATGTAGGATAAGGACATTAAGGATTGGATAAGGATAAGGACACCAAGGATTGGATCTTTTAAATTCATAAAATGGATAAGGACAAGTTTCTAAACAAGTCAGCATTGGTGCGCTGGCAACACCAGCTATGCTTTTTTAATTTAAAGTATCATTATTGAGAAAAAGAAACATTTTCTCAGTTTTATTTCGCTTCTCAGTTTCTTTTTAATTTGTACGAAATGGACCCACTAAAATTCTTTTTTTTTTTTTAACTAAATCTTTGGGATTGTGCTTTTTAGAGGATCATTTACACACACACACACAAAGAGACATCATGCTTTATA